GGGCCCCTCCAGCCTCTTTCGGCTTCGTGTAACGCCAGAGCGCTCGAGTCGCTCGGGCTGTAGCTGTATGGGGAGAGAGAAGCCACCACCCCGCCTCTGGCCCTCTGCGTCCGCGCCTTTGGCACATCGCCACGTTATCTTACTATAGACCCACTGGGGCTTACGGTGTATGACTGTCAGGATCCCCGCTGGGTTCTCTGCCTCTTTTGCAGCATCATTATGAGCTCATTGGCTTCCCCTCTGGGGCTCTGGGACTCCAGAGCTGTGACACAACACATTCCTTTTTTATTCTTTTTGTAAAAAGTTTTCCACTAACCTACACAATTCCAACTCAGGTGAAAGATAAAGCTACACGTATAGAATAGCATCATGTCTAAAAAGCAGCTTCCTCTCTCTCCTTCTCTCCCCACATCCAGGAAGGGGAAAGCATGAATGAGGTAAAGGACGCCCTCAGAGGCATAGAACAGAACTACAAGCTCTTCCTGCAGCAGCAGTTTACCTTCATCGGAGCACTGCAACACACCCGAGAGAACGCGCATGACATGATCAGACCTGTGGCAAGCATCAGCCAGGTACAAAGGATGCAGCACAAAGTTCTCTGCCGATAAAAGCAGGGACCGACGCGGTGCAGTCGCACACTCGGGTCTAGTTCAGGGATGAATAAATGTTTTTACTAAGGGAAGATGCACGAAAACTCTCAGCAACATTTGTGCACGACTCTGCAAACCAGTGGCAAAAGTAGGGGAGAGAAATGCCTGTGTTAGTTCTTCCCACTTACAGATAAGGAATTTTACTGCTGAGCATCACTTTATGATTTAGTTTAATGCTGTCATGTCACTGCTGAGGCATGGCCACAAATCCAGGGTACAAGAAAACAAACCAATGCTCCTTCCCCAGCCACACACGGAATGTGTAATCCTTAACTTGCAGTAACTAGCATGCCTGCCTCTTCCCCCTGGTATTGGTGCTGCTGTAGCTTTCTATAGCCCTTATTAAAAATAATGGCTGTGTTACAGAGGTAGGATGATGGATTGAGAGCTGGAAGTCCCAAGTGGGCTACAGGTTTTCTGGGCTGGTAAGTGAACTGTCTTGGAATTTTTATAACATGGCATGCTTTAAGTAGTAGGAAGAACTTAGACCACCTGCAGATAGAGGGGGAAGAAAAGTCTAAATCAAATTAGAATTGTGGATTTGAGACAGCAGAACCCAGGCACAAAACTCAGATGGATGCCAAAGCCAGAGTGAAAGCCAAGCTGTTATTAGGATTGGGACACAAGAGTCAGCTGGTTGTCTTTTCTAAGGGCTCACTCTCTCTAATACAAAGGTTTTGCTTATAACACTGAAGAGGATCATGACAGTCATTCCACTCCAGTTTTTCCAAAAATAGGCATTGAGATTTTGTGTAACATTATGCTGGTTTTTAAAGTGCCAATATTTCAGTGGTTCTGAGCCAGCTCAGACTCTGCATCTCGGCAGAGGTGGAAGGGCTGCTTGTTGTGGGGATGAAAGCTTGTAGGCAACAACTTCACCAATTACATTGATCCGTGGCATTGTTTGTGGTACAGTAATATGTGAACTTAGTGGTGGCAAACTACCACCCAGGCAGTGCTGAGGGTACACCCAAGGGTGAGGATGGGAAAAGGAAAAGAGCAAGTTCACGGGGAGAACAGGGACCAAGGGGTGAGCACAAACTGGTGAAGCACTGGGCGGGAACTGAACCACCACCAAAGAAAGTTCACTGTGACAAAACCAGACATTCATTTTATTTCTCTACCATTCTCCTGCATCAGCCCAAGCCTACTTCTAATTTTGCCTGGGAGGGCACAAGAATAAAAGCAACAAATGCAGAAATACGTGTGGCCTCAGCCTACAGCTGACTTGACTGCCAGCTTTCTTTGCATGTAGACACTACAGAAAGAAAATGATACTGTACTTGAATACAGCTGCATTTCTAACCCCTGAAAGCTGTATGTGGGAGCAGTTTTAGTGTTGAGCGATGAAGTTTTTCAGAGAGACCGTAGTAATGTGGAAAGGTGAAAGAACACACCATTGCTAGGCAATGGCAAGAGCTCCTTAAAGACTTCCACATGGAGCAGGATATAATGTCAAATCCCAAGTGGTTCTGAGACGAGCTCCTCAGTCATTGCTTCAGCCACACATTCAGATCACCCAGTGAGCCCTGCAGAGCCTGGCTGTGGTCACAACATCAGCCCAGGGTCTGGGCTGTCCGTGAGCTCCCTTGGCTGCAGCTCAGCAGCAGATGGCTAATGCAGAGCTGGGCAGTTCTTGTTTCTGTAGTCCTGGTCCCTGTCCTGGTTACTCAGGTGCATAAACTATTGTTGATGTGGACAAAAAGAAGCCCAGTTATCCCATCGGTGAACGTCCAGGCTAAAATGCTATTCTCTTTAGGAGAGAATACAGCAGCAGTAACATCTGCTCACAGCAGCAATAAAAAATCCTGCCACTCACAAGGCCAGGATGCTCAGTGAGCAGTGTGGAACGAGGAATCTGGAGTGGAAATGGACATTAGGGCCCATTTTTTATTTTTCTTACAACCCTGCCAAGTATTTTCCTGAGCACAGAGCACGGCTTTTCTGTATGCAGGAACTGTGCCACTGTTGGAAAAGCTACTTGGTTCTTGTCTTGAAATGCTACAGAAAGCTCTGAAGGTGTCAGAGCCTGGCTGTGACTGTCAACCAGCCACTCAGTATTTTACATTCTGACCACTCATGTCTGAAGTATCTGTAATTTCTTGGGAGAAAATACTTAATCTCTTGGCATAATGTTTCATCATGCCATGACGTTCACTCCGATTAACAAAAATGCTCAAGGCAAATAGGGAATATCATTGCTGTGACAGCTTAGTAAGGACAGTTTAGGTTAAATGGGTTTAGTTTGCAGTCACATCTAGTGATGACAAAGAACGATGCAGAATGCATGATGCAAACACATCACTCCCAACTACTCCCTGTTTGGTCACTGCCCTCACCTCACACCCAGCTCTGCTCAGGCAGTTGTGGCAGTGGCACAGGATGCCCTGCTTGGAGCAGAAAACTCTGCTCACGCTCAGCCTGTTTCTGCAGGGCTTGCAGCAGAGCTGTGGTTTGGCCACGGTTCTTCTATACTGCTTCAAAGAGGGAGGAAGGCTCACTGGTGTGCTGACAAGCAGATCTGTTACCTCCTTTAGTCATGATGGACAAGCAAACACCTTGGACATGCTCTAGAAATCTCACTGCCTGCTGTGGGGGTTGTGGTTTCCATAGTGGCTCACAGCTGCAACCACAAGAGAAAGCAGCTTCTCACTAACCTCAGCACCTTTGCAGCGTAAGTTACATGTAACTTAACATGCACAACTCTGTCTTTCCCCACATACAGGTACAGTCCTACATGGACCATCACTGTAACAATTCCACTGACAGGCGTATCCTCAACATGTTCCTAAACATCTGCAATGACCTAAGCAAGCTCTGCCAGAAGCTGGAAAGCGTGCATCCTCGTAACAGCACAACCAACAACATTCTAGAGAGGTGCAAGGTGCTCCTCAGCCACAGCAACGATCTCAGCAGCATCCGAGCCAAGTAGGTGTCTCCATCAGCTTAGTTTCTTTGAGGTGACTCTCACTGCTGGGGAACTGTCACAGGAATGCATATTCCCACCTGACTTTTCCATCAGTTCTGCTACAACACCCTTCTGGGCTTTAATACGAGGTGCTGTCCACTTCATCATTCCAGCTGGTGGGAAAACATTGCCAGCCTCTGTTCACAAAAAGGGGGTTGGTTTGTTTATTCATTCTTTTTACTGGTGCTTGGAAGGGCATATACAGGCAGGTTAGCACCCTGAAGTCCCATGCAACGCTCAGGCAGTTTACCTCCTCCTTCCTCCTATTCCTGCTCTGCAGGAATAATTTCCATGGGGCAAGTGTTTGTACACGCTCTTCAAGTCTTCCAGCTCCATCCCAACAGCCAAGATGGTGTGTTTGGCAGGACTCAGTTCTCAGGATGCAGTCCTATCCGTGCCTTTTTGTTCTGGGGAGATGGCTGGCTGCAGTTCTGCTCTTCCCAGGGGATTCTCAGGGATGCACTGTGGGCTTACTGAGGTTACACTGCTGGGACGAGCCTGCCACCCATTTCCTTCTGTCCCACAGATACCCCCACGATGTTGTGAATCACCTGAGCTGTAATGAAGCAAAGAATCATTTTGGAGGGGTGGTGAGCCTCATCCCCATCGTTCTAGACTGCATAAAGGAGTGGATAACCCACACTGAGAAGCTGTCACGGGAGGTGCTGCAAAATGTGAGTGGTGGAAATGCTACCTCTGAGAAGTCGGCACCCCAAAGTGCACCAGACAGGGCAGTCATTTCCCAAACAGCACCGTCTGTGCACCTTGAAGTTCAGACCTCAGCAAACAAGAAAGATAATGTACAAGTGCAGGCGAATAAGCACGTCTGGAAGAAGCACCTCAATGACACAAAAAATCATAGTGGGAAATGTAACAGTCCCTGGAAACCTCCAGGTAGACATGCCTTTTAAAGGATCAAAGTTCACCCATCTCACGCTTACCACCTTTAATCAGGCAGTTGAAGACAGGGAAATGATTTCTAGAGATCCTGCCTCTCCAAGTCCACTTGCTGAGTAGTTGGCCCTCTAACTTTGTAGCCTTGAGCAGGTACACACTCTCACCCTTGCTGGTATTTCCACTTTGCTCCTTAAAGTTGTATCCCTACCAGCAGTAGTTGTAGCACTATAGCTTATGCCCTTGACGAGCACTGCTGTGAGAGCAGGGAATAGTCAGGAGTAATCAGGTTCTAATCTTTCACCCATGAATCTTGGGCAGCCTACTTGAAAATGGGATTTTACACTTTGTCAGACTTCTTTCTGAGGAACCCCCACCAAGTCACCAAAGCCAGAGGTGTGACAAACCTGCATGTCTGAAGAACATGATGCAGAGCAGCAAAGCTGGATTCAGACACGTTTGGGATTTAGACGGGTCCCTGAAGTTCCCTCACCCCCACTGAAATTTTTTGGTTATTTGGAGCACAGAATCAATGTTTACAGGACACTAATGATGTTTCCCTTACATGCCACTGGCTACCAAAAAGGTCAGTGTGTTTTAGCTGCACTGACTGTGCTCTGATGCATCCTTGCAGGTTCTCACACCATGGCCAGCACACACCCCTCCAAACATCTTCCCTTACACCGTTCTGACTCATTCCTGTCAGAGCTAGAGATGGAAAGCAGAAAAAAAACTTCATTTGCCCTTAGTCTGGTGCACTGGCAATATCCAAACTTGGATAAAACACCCCTACCATGCCCAGAGCTCTGCAAAACTAACCAAGTTATTCCCAGTCAGTGTGATTCATGGGAATCTGGCAGGAGCAGAGAGGGTGAGAAAGCTGTGGCCATTTTCAGATGGTTCCTTTTCAAATTGTGAGTCAAAATGTCTGTGCTTTCCCTTTTTCGAGATGAGAATCCAGGTTGCCTAGCTTTCAGAGATGTTGTGAGGCTTGGTTCATTAAAATTGCAAGGCATTTGAAACAGTCTCATGCTGCTTTTATACCAACTCTTTACAATTCCAGCACAGTGACTTTATACCAGTGCTGGAAACAACTTTCATTCCCGCCTGCTCGGGGAGGGTCAGCAGAGCCACAGGCTCTCCCCATTCTCTGGAGCTGATACACATTTCTGGTGGTGCAGAAATTCAAGCACTGTTAACTACAGACTTAAGATCTCAATAACATGGTGCCTTCCCTGTATCTCACTGCTCTTTTCCCCTCCCACAGGGAAATTAGCTCCTGCTCTTTGCTTCCTGCTGGAAAACACTCCTGAATAAACAATTTCCCCTCACATACCTGGCTCAATTTGCTAAAGTTGCGAGAAAACTTTTACCTTAAGATAACCAGATTTTGGCAACAAGAAGCCAAAAAGGGAGGAAGAATTAATACAGAGAAGGGAGCGTAGGAAGGAGTGACAGCCCAGATGAAATGGCAAGTATTTTCAGGAGTATTTTGATTCCTCACATAACCCCACCTTCTTTTCACTTTTCCTTCCTTCCCCTATCCACTTATACTGCAATGCAATACATCTGTCCACACTGGAGTAGAAGCCTATTTTTAGGAGACAACATGATCCAACTGCATTGAATCTTGGTGAACTCAAGTGGGTAATGAAGCTTGCCAGGGTCCCAGCAAGGTTCCCAGGCACTGCTGGGGACACAGCCAGGAGGACAAGCCCGTTACCCTCTCAGTTTCTACTTGAGAGCCCTGTTGCAAAGGCAGCTTCAGGCAGAAAAATCAGTGTTGCTCACAGCTGCCCTATTGTGTTTCATGTGGCAAAGACAAGTGTCCGATGACAGTTGCTGTTTTGGAAAGTTTTTCAGCACGAGCACACGCTACGTGGACTAAAGGATGACAAGTGTTGGGGACACAAGAGACGCTGCTCCCAGATCTTGTTTCCAACCTTCCTCACCCTGTCGTATAGTTTAAATTTGAACACTCAGGCTCTGATGAGCCCCACTCTGGCCCCACTGTTCACAATGCCAATGCAGTTGTCCGTTTGTGCTTGACCAAGGTCACCGTACATGCAAGAAACAGTTCCCAAACCTTACCAGTAATTTCTAGCCCAGCCCTATCCTTTCAGCCTTATGCAGCTGAATTTTAAGACACAAGCAGAAAAATGAGTGCATAAACTTGCAGTGTGAGGCTTAGTAATGACATGACCAGGATCTGCTGGAAGACTGCAAAGTTAAGGCTCACAAAAACATCTCTACAAATTACTTAATTTCCATACAAGTTCTCCTCTTCCAGAGTGGATGGACACTTCAAAAGACAAAAAGATACAGCAAGAATTGTTTTTCTCTACTACAAATCAAGCTGTTTGAAGAATTTGCATAAACAGGATGTAAATGCCAAACACAGAAGTGCAATAAAGTTTAACTTTAGCCTCGGTGAGCATAAAATTGCAATTTACGCACTGAGAAACCCGGCAGGGCCCCAGAGTGACTTACCCAGAGATCTGTCACTTAGTCCAGGAAATAAATGCTGTTTTTTCATTCAAAGACTGAAAAAGAGGTATGGGCTGGTAGCAGCTGATCTCAACAGAATCCTGGCCTCTGCAGACTATAAATATCCTCTGTGCTCCCCTCGATTCAGCCAAGGGTCAAATGAGGCTTTTGTCAACCTGTAATTGGGTCAAAATATCCTGTAAGTGGAACACCCAGTCCCAGCACCTCACCCACAGAGGGGATGCGGTCAGGCCCTATGAGGTGATGACCAAGCACTGGGGACGGCAATGGGCTCCTGAGGGCAGGAGAGGAGTGATTCGAGGGAGAATGGGGACTGAGCATCCCCAAAATGGCATCAGAGCCGGTGGAGGGAAGCGGTGAGCTTGGCAGGGCCTCTAGTGGCCGCGGCCGGGAGGGTGCACTTGCATTGAAGGGGACATCGAGAAAACCAGGTTTAGCCAAGTAGAGCTCAGGGACACCAGAATCGTGCACCCACCCGCCACAGTTACCTGGAAGAAAGTTCTGTCTGACAACTAAAGCCTGGGTGAACAGTAACTCAGCTTTTCTTGTGAAGCTCCTGTGTGTAGTAGTGTATGAAGGAATGAAGGAACTTGTGCTGATTGTCTAAACTCTTTTGTAACCTCTTTTAAAATCTACCATTGCACCAGCAGTTAAGCAGTTCCAATAAATCAAGATCAATCAGCAAAGATACTTTAAATTCAGAAAATGAAATTCTTCCCTTCCCTAATGTCTACTCCATGTTTATTACCTTGGCTGTAAACCACGGAACACACTACTTAGCGTTAGTGAGAAAGGAAGGTACTTTAGTTTTCTCTTTTTGTTCCCTGTGGATGTACTTCTGTGGGTAATATGTATCTGATTATTTTTCTTACGCTGGCAAGTGTAGCTTTTCCAGGCTACGCTTGTAAAGGAATATGCAAATGCATCTAAAATAAGGTAAGAGCAAGTCAAGTTCACTTTCTGCTTGGTATTCATTTCACTTACCCCATGCTGCAGAACTCATGGAACCCCACTCAAAAGGGGCAGAACCACTTACCTGCTCTGTGCTATGCAGCTCCTGGAAGATGTTTCAATACTGAACTTGTTTCTGCATGTTTTGTCTCGGCACAGCTTGTTCCCAAAGAGGTCAGCTTGGAGGGAATTTAACACAGAGTAGTGCAAAACAATACATTTTATTTGTTCACAGTTAAACACAAGCAACTGCCTTGACATTTTAGAACATTCTAATAAGGACAGCAAAACCTCCTTTTGGTTTAAGTTCTCTTTAGCTTACGATTGTACCATTTCCTTGTATTTCATATTTATGGCATTTAATGTGGATTGTTTAACATGCTTACAAAGAGCGAGGCAGGGAACAGATTAACTTGACAAAGACAGCAATTTTAGATTTAACTAAAAGCAGTCAGTTAAAAAAAATCTGTTTCCACTTCCCTGATGGGACCCCTTCAAACAAACTGCAAGTTAACTACATACAGCAGATCCATGATTTTTAGACTTAGAAAAAAAAACCCCAAAAAGTAATTGCAAAATTTGTTCCTCCATAATCTTTGTGGTCCATAAACAAAGCTAAAGTGGTTTCCATTACTATCCTGGTGCTAAAATCCTTTTTAAAAGAAGAAAAAAGTCACCTTATCACTGAGCTTGCGTTACCGCCAGGGCACTTCTGTAACCGACAACAAAAACCGCCTCTCCACGCAGCAAGTGACCTCGTCCTACAAGACACTCTCCTGGGCTCGGCAAAGCAGAAGGATGGGTCAACGAACTCCTCCAACACAACAGCATCCAGTGGCCGAGCCCCCTTCAAGGTCAATGTGCAAACAGTTCACTCCTGGGGCTGGCACCCGCTGGCGTAAGGGGCTGGAAACCTCTGAATCTGACCGAAACATACGCTACCACGTTTGCTACCACTACATCTTAGAAAGCCTATAAACATGTCGACAAAACCAGTCTGTCACTTACAACCAACTCTCTATTTTCTATTCCATGCAGATTCAAGCTTGGACAAAACCACTGAAGTTCACCTTTACTTTCAGAGTTAGGACTGACCAACCGAAAGGACACTGAGAATAATTTAGACAGGCAGAAATGTATTTAGACCCTAGGTGTTATGGAAGAAGCAGAAAGGGGAGGAAAAGTACTGTCAGGAACAAGTTAGCATATTGCCAGCTGCTCTTAGAGAGTCTTGTTCCTATTCGGGTTAAGAAGGGATTTGAACCACAAGTGCAAGTGTACTTGGACTTGATTTATACGCGAGATGATTCTCAAACAGCAGCTGCCACCCACAGAACATTTAAGAAAAGAGGCCACGTGTGATGCAGGGTAACTGTGAAGCCTGGTATGTCTAAGTACGCCTGGACCCAGACATATCTAACATTTAAAACAAGCACACTGCCTGCCTAACAGCAGGCTCTGCTCTGTCACGAAGGAGATTGAGTCTGACCACTGACAAGCCCTGATCCCACAATCCTCCTTCACAGAAGGCTCATCATTGACTTAAAACATGATTAACGCAGGAAGGCTTCACACAGAATTCTGATCCGCAGTCTGAGCAGGCCTCCTCCTCAGCCTTGTCCTCTAAGGAAACAGGATGAGGGCAAAGGGGAGATACCTGGAGCCAAATTGCCATTGCTGAGCTGAAAAATGTGCTGCAGTCTGAACACAACAGCACTCAAAGGAAACTATATTCTCCAAGAGAAGTCTGAAAATGTATTCCCAGGAAGAACAAAGCCAATTTCTTGGACTCAAAATACAGCGGCCTTGCTCAGACCAGGAACAAAGACCAGAATTACAAAGGAGGGTTAGGCAGCACAAGCATTTCCCTGATTAGAGAAACAAATGCTCCTCTGCAAATCTTCATAAGCTTGCAATTCTACACACGTTCTGCATGCTCCCCCTGCTCGAGTGAAGCTTCATCTTCCCCCTTTTCCCACCCCAATTGCTTTCCCATACGAACCAGTCTGAGGTCAGTACCAGTCTGTCAGGCAAACACTTAAAATACCAAGAAGATCAGAAGCTAGTGTTTTACCAAATCTCCAGCATATACGGTCTCTTCTGCATTACAAGCTCCAGTTCCTCATTAAGTGTCTGTTCAAATGTAACTTTGCAGGAAATGTTAAGGACAATATAAACAATGATCAAGAATTAGGGTGAATGAATCGTTTTGCAGAGGTACACTGTTCTTTAAACATTTAGATATTCAGAGTCCAGCTTAATGAAGACTGGGCTCTGAGGGACATGGGGCAGTGGACAGGCAAAATAGAGACCTCTAGAAATTCTAGTGCTGCTTCTTTCCAGGATGAAAGCAACCGGAGGCACCTGGACAGGCAGCACAATTAACTGCTCTAAGTTGGAAGCTTGCAAGGAAATACAAAGCATTCATAGTAGACTCACAAATGTTAATTTGGCCTCATATTGCACTCAAGTTCATAAACGCAGCCACTCAACTGGGGACAGGGAAAAAGGGAAAAAATACTTGCAATTGCTAACAGTTGTCCCTTCAAATTAGTACACGCTGCTAAGGACTGAGTTTGAGAAAGAAGCAGGAGTTAGGCTGGGCCATTCACTTCCAGACCCAAAAATCCACTTTGCATTCATTCAGCAGCCTTCTTCTGTTTCTGGACATCAATCCTATTCCGCTGCATGAGCTAGCTGCTCAGACCAAAGAAACATAAAAGCTTTTAGTTAAACTTGCATTCACGCCTCCTGTTCTATGCCAAGAATATGAAAATAACACTGATTGACTATCTTCCTTTTTAACTGTGGTCATGATGAGTTTCATTGTAGTCCATGATATGAAGCTGTCCAACACTGCTTTCCTGGAT